TGGCTGGCAGAACCCGCTTCCCAATCCCCACGTCCGCATCCCGGCTTCCTCCAGCTCCCACCCACCTCCCTGCCGCGCCGCTGGCTCAAAGTCCTGTTTTCCCTTCCTCCCTCCCAGACGTTGGACGCTGGAGCTGCGGGTGGCTGGGGGTCCCCCGGCCTGGGTCTCTGCTCTGTCCCTGCCGTGTGTAGCCCCTTGCACCCCGTGTCCGTCCCCGGTGCGGTGACAGTGCCCAGGGGGTCTGGGGGAAGGAGCGGGGTGAGGACACAAGGGGTGTCCCCAGCACCTGAGGGTCTCCCCCGTGATGCCACCCCACGGAGGGGTGTTTGTGGGTCTCTGGCTGCTGCTGGTCCCCAGCCTTGCCGAGCCACCCCCGGGAACTGGGGGGGCCACCCTGGCCTTTGTCTTCGATGTCACCGGCTCCATGTACGACGACCTGGTGCAGGTGATGGACGGGGCCTCGCGCATCCTGGAGCGGACGCTCAGCAGGAGCACGAAGCCCATCAGCAACTACGCGCTGGTCCCCTTCCACGACCCAGGTACGGCGGGGACAGGGCGAGGGCGGGCGTCCCGCCGGGGGACGAGGCTGCGGGGGGCTGGTGTGTGGTTCTGGCCGGGTTTGGGGCTGGAGTGTGCACTTCCCAAGTGCCTGCACTGCCACTTCTCCCCCTTTTTATCGCCCCTTCTCCCCCTTTTTATCGCCCTGGTGACTGCTGCAATGGGGATGCCAGCACGGGATGAGCTGCAGCCCGAGGGCACGGTGCTGGGCAGGGGCTCCCATCCCAAGGCCACCCTGTGGGTGTGGGGCAAGCCATTTCTCACCAAATTAACCCCAGTGATGCTGGCACCCACTTGAGGTTGACTTTTCTACTTCCAGCCTGTCCCAGTCTCCCCAGTCTGATCACAGGGGGGGATGTCTATACAAGTCCACAGCGTGCTTCCAGGTCGCCTCAATAAAAGCACCACTTGCTGAGAGATTTTGGCAACTTTCTTCAATACCAGAATCGTTTCTTTCTGTCCCAGTCTTTGCCTTGGGATTTTTGTGCACACCCATAAACAGCAGCTGCTCTCCAAAAGAGCCCTGACCCACTCCAAGGGGAGCACGACCAAGGCTTTATTTTCAGCAGAAACACTGAGTTTGAGTGAAAATCGCTGGAGCTGGACAAGGAGGGAGGCAGAGACAGTAAATGGGTTTCTGCATCGCTTTGCTGGGAGCCTCCCCCAGCAGCAAGCAGTGCTGGGTTTGCAGCTTACCCTGGGCAAGCGTTTCTCTGGGGCAGGCTGTGCCCCTGGGCACGGTGCTGCTCTGCCCAAATCCACACCTCGCCCGGTGCCAAGCCAGGGCAGATGCTGAACCCCGACTATCGCAGGTCGCATCAGGGTATTTTAGCCGGGGTGGGCGCTTGGGAGTGCGGCTCTGGAGGAGGCTGGTGCGGGTGGGTCGGGGAGGCTGAGGCAGTGGTGTTGGTGTGGTTGCAGAGGTGGGACCCGCCCCCAGGTACGGGGGGGACAGGGCGGGGGCGGGCGTCCCGCCGGGGGACGGGGCTGCGGGGGGCTGGTGTGTGGTTCTGGCCGGGTTTGGGGCTGGAGTGTGCACTTCCCAAGTGCCTGCACTGCCACTTCTCCCCCTTTTTATCGCCCCTTCTCCCCCTTTTTATCGCCCTGGTGACTGCTGCAATGGGGATGCCAGCACGGGATGAGCTGCAGCCCGAGGGCACGGTGCTGGGCAGGGGCTCCCATCCCAAGGCCACCCTGTGGGTGTGGGAAAAGCCATTTCTCACCAAATTAACCCCAGTGATGCTGGCACCCACTTGAGGTTGACTTTTCTACTTCCAGCCTGTCCCAGTCTCCCCAGTCTGATCACAGGGGGGGATGTCTATACAAGTCCACAGCGTGCTTCCAGGTCGCCTCAATAAAAGCACCACTTGCTGAGAGATTTTGGCAACTTTCTTCAATACCAGAATCGTTTCTTTCTGTCCCAGTCTTTGCCTTGGGATTTTTGTGCACACCCATAAACAGCAGCTGCTCTCCAAAAGAGCCCTGACCCACTCCAAGGGGAGCACGACCAAGGCTTTATTTTCAGCAGAAACACTGAGTTTGAGTGAAAATCGCTGGAGCTGGACAAGGAGGGAGGCAGAGACAGTAAATGGGTTTCTGCATCGCTTTGCTGGGAGCCTCCCCCAGCAGCAAGCAGTGCTGGGTTTGCAGCTTACCCTGGGCAAGCGTTTCTCTGGGGCAGGCTGTGCCCCTGGGCACGGTGCTGCTCTGCCCAAATCCACACCTCGCCCGGTGCCAAGCCAGGGCAGATGCTGAACCCCGACTATCGCAGGTCGCATCAGGGTATTTTAGCCGGGGTGGGCGCTTGGGAGTGCGGCTCTGGAGGAGGCTGGTGCGGGTGGGTCGGGGAGGCTGAGGCAGTGGTGTTGGTGTGGTTGCAGAGGTGGGACCCGCCCCCCTCACAGAGAGGGTGGGGGACACTGGCACTGTGCCCCAGGCTCCAGCGATGGGGCAGAGCCTCTCAGTTCGCAGCTCTTGTCCCAAAGTGGGAATGCTTCCCCCGGAAGAGTTTTCACGAACTCTCCATGGAACCAAAAATCTCTTTTTCTAGAAGTGCTGTTTGAAATTTATTAGAGTTTTTAAATTTTATTTAAACTATTTCAGCTGCATTCTGCCAGCTGCATTCTACCAGCTGAAATGCTCTCTGGGAGTTTAATCGTGCTTTATCCATCCCTTCTCCTGCCCTGCCTCCCATGCATTGCTAAATCCCCACGGTGTTTCCCTTCAGACACAGCTGTGTTTTGGCAGGAGGTGTAAAGCCGCTGCTGCGAATAATTTCACAGTCCTTTGGGGTGCAAAGCCCCGTAGGAGCAGAGCTGGTCCTCGCTCTGCCTCTGTCCTTGACTGGGGTGGCCGGTTCTGCTGCCGTGTTGGGGCAGCGGGCTGGGATGGGCACGAATTCGTGGAGAGCCGGTGGCTGCTGTGAGTCCGGATCCCCAAGTGCGTGGTTGAATTACCCTTAGCGGTGAGACAGGGCCAGGTCCTTGTGGTCCCGCGTGTCCCTGCGGTACCATCACGCTGCTCTGGCTGCGCCTGGGCTCACTCCAGCAGACTGGTGCAATTCCTGCCCGTGAGCAGACCCGGGGTGGGATCCCGCCGGGACCCTGACAGGGAAGGGCTGAGCACTGGACGGCTCAGTGCCCGCGCCACGTCCCTCACCGTGTGCCGCAGGGCGGAGGGGACTGCCCGGAGATGAGCGTGGGAGCCATCAGGCTGGCCGC